AAGGCAGCTCAAAGAGTGAACAATCTCAGTCTTTTCAGATTCAAGTCCAACGTATTGATGCCCATGAGAACCAGTTACATCAGATTCTCCAACAGCAACATGCATCCGGAAATCAAGTAGATCTACTCCATCAAGAAATTCAAAGTTTACATGCTAAGATCAATGTGCTGTTGCCATCTCCCACAGCGCCACCTACCACCATAAATCCTGGGTCTCAGTCTCAACCTGGCCTGGCTCACTGTGAACCCGATTACCGGCCTTCTGAGTTTTTTGAAGGCAATCCAGATATGTGTGGGTTTTTTTTTGCTACAATGTAACCTGGCTTTCAATCGTTCTCCTTCCTTGTTTCCCACTCACTCTGCTAAAATAACATACATAATCACTACCCTAAAGGGAACTGCTCTTCGTTGGTCTCATGCATTTTTATGTTCTCACTCTTTGGAAACATTAACTTTTCAGAAATTTATTCAGGAGTTCAGCAGGGTGTTTGATCATCCCCTCCAGCAGGAGGAAGCGGCGAAACGGCTCCTCACAATGAAACCGGGAGGAAGAAGTGTATCTGAGCACTCGATCGATTTCCGGGTCACGGCGGAAGAGACTGGATGGGACGAGTTGGCATTAAAAGGTACCTTCATCAACACTCTCTCAGAACAAATGAAGGATCAGTTGGCTTCAAGAGATGAACCAGCTAGTTTAGATGAGTTAATCAGTCTTGCCATAGGCATTGACAACCGTTTATTGGAAAGAACGAGAGAGCGGCTGCTCACACCACGTCAACCCCATAGCCCTGTGTTTTTTCAACCTCCTGATGCATCTATTTGTGAAATAGCTCCTGTGGAATCTGTACCAGAACCTATGCAGATTGGGAGAACCAGATTGTCCCCGGAAGAATGACAGCGTTGCTTCGAGGCCCGTGAGTGTTTCTATTGTGGAAAGAAGGGACATTTTGTGGCTGCGTGTCCTCTGCGGGGAAACGGACGCGCCCGTCGGTAGACCAGAGGATACCGACGAGCTCATCCATCTATCCCTCTGACTCTCGTTTATCCCTGCCAGCCACTCTCACTCACAACCATAATAAGCTCTCCATCTCTGCTCTCATTGACTCTGGAGCAGAACAGAATCTCATCACCACTGATCTGGTTCAGTATCTTAAATTACCTACCATCATCCTTGATCCACCACTCTCTGTGACTGGAGTCACGGGCCACAACCTCGCCCGGATCACTCACAAGACCACTCCTCTCCATTTTGTCATCTCTGGGAACTATCATGAGTTCGGTGAGTTTTTTGTTTTCGATTCTTCATCATCACAGTTTATCTTGGGTTTTCCTTGGTTACAAATGCACAACCCCATACTCAATTGGCAAGAGAGAAGAGTGGAGGAATGGAGCCCCTTTTGTTTAAAGAATTGTTTACATGCCGCCATGATTGCCTCCTCTCCTTCACCTAAGGCTCCAGAACCTGTTGATTTATCTAATGTTCCCAGTGTTTATCATGACTTAAGACAGGTTTTTAGTAAACAAAGAGCATTATCCTTGCCACCACACAGACCTTACGACTGTGCTATAGATCTTCTCCCGGGCGCTCCATTACCATCTAGTCGACTCTATAACTTATCAGGACCAGAAAGAGAGGCTATGAAGAAATACATTGATGAGTCGCTGACCTCAGGCATCATTCGCTCTTCAACCTCTCCTGTTGGGGCTGGGTTTTTCTTTGTTGAAAAAAAGGACAAATCTCTCAGACCATGTACAGATTACAGAGGCTTAAACCAGATTACCATCAAGAATAAATATCCTTTACCCCTTATAGATTCCGTCCATGAACAACTTCACTCAGCCAAAGTTTTTTCCAAACTCGATCTCAGAAACACCTACCACTTGGTTCGCATTAGGAAAGGAGACGAGTGGAAAACTGCATTTAAGACACCCCTCAGCCATTTTGAATATTTAGTTATGCCATTCGGTCTCACTAATGCCCCAGCTGTGTTTCAGGCTCTCATTAATGATGTGCTGAGAGATTTTTTGAACATCTTCGTTTTTGTGTACCTGGATGACATTTTGATTTACTCACTAAACCAGGAGCAACACGTAAAACATGTAAGGGCGGTACTTCAACGTCTCAATGAGAATCAACTCTTTGTCAAGGCAGACAAATGCGACTTCCATGCATCACCAGTATCCTTTCTGGTGTAAGGGTGAGTTACTTATGCAAATAAGTTCCCTACATCTTCTCATAACTAAGTTATGAGAGTAAATTTTACCAAGGTTTTCCTCATTAHTTTAATATTTGTCTGTGCAAAGTGAAGTGACACAATGAGGGAACGTCAGACGAGTTCAAGTTGATTCATAAAAGATTATRCAATCATTTATTTACACAAATTGAACAAAATCATAAATTACACCTGATCGTGAGTTTCCTATATTAAGCGTCTAAGTAAATGAGATAAAACCCGCGTCCGAATTTCTTTCACATTAACTCAGATTACTTATATAGACAGTAAACGTCAGTTCTGATGTTAAAAACTAAACAATTTACTGGCACTTTCACTTAGAGTTGGCAAAGGATAAAGGGTAAGAAAAGGTAAGAAATTTAAGGATTAGTGTTTCTGCTTTTATTCTGGTAAGGTTTACAACCGGTTCAGCACGTCCCCTCTGCTCTCAGGCTTCAACTTGACACGTCACCCACGAATACGTCAGCATTACCTGGTGATGCCTGCTCAAAACACCCCGGGTGGTACTGTCTCACCAACGACCCTCTAGGAAGCTTGTCCTCGCTTGTCTTTCAGGTGACTTTTCCGTCTGTTTCAGCCCAGGCTAGAAAGATTCCAGCTGAAAGTTCCAGTCGTCTTTCAAAATAAAAGTCTCCCCTCGGGAGTTGAAAACACTTAAAGAGACCTGGGTCTCTAAAGTTGGACAGGAAGCGGCTTGCTCCTGCCCTGGCCGACAAGCCGACTCGAATTGGCTCTTGAGTCACACCTGCGGCCCGGCTGTTCTCCGGAGAGAATCAGCCCGTCTTCCCTTTTCGGCATCCAGGAAGGAACTCCTGTGAGTCTCTAAGACGTCCGTGTTAGTAAGAAAGAGTCGGAGCCTTAGATCCGCCCTGAGGCGTTTTGCATGAGTCAGAGAAATGAAAGAAGATAAGATACTTTGCCAGCTGACGCCAGTGAAGGTCATGTTCTGTAGCTGTTTCACAGACATTATGATAATATCTTCTTAGCTTCTTTCTGCTAGACTGTAAGAGGAATCACTGTAAAACATTTATGATGATTAATTAACATTTCTGTTTAAATAATCAGTCTGAACTTGGTGTCCCGATAAATGTAAGATTTTCTTAAGAAAACTCAAAATTATATTACTGATGTTTCAGTAAAATGAAACAGTGATTTATACAAACACAATGAAAACATGGTGATGATTTTATGTGATTTTATACCATTCATTAATCTATTTTAGGCACGATAAAAGAATAGAAGTGATTCTTTCTTTCTTTGTGACATGTCATTTTTATGATTAACAGATGCATAACATTCTTAGTTAAACAACAAATGAATGACGAACAGAAAAGATTGTTTCTGTTCAATATCTGATTAGAGAACTGAAGTCCTCCTGTAGGTTGAAATGACCCATCATGGCCTAAAATAGAGTTCAGTGTTCCTGCCTTCTTTCAGGCCTGTCCGAGACCAGCTTTGAGGCAGTAACTCCTGTTTCTTCACTCGAGGTGACCCCTACACTGGACTTCATTTTTGATCAGGGCAGTTATCGATCAGATCCTGAAAAGACCAAAGCGGTGGCTGATTGGCCCACCCCTCTGGACAGAAAGCAACTCCAGCGATTTTTGGGATTTGCTAATTTCTACAGGAGATTCATCAAGAACTACAGCAGGGTGGCAGCTCCCCTTACCCAACTCACTTCAACCCTTCGAACCTTCAAATGGACCCCCGAGGCAGAGGCAGCTTTTGGTGAGTTAAAGAAACGTTTTACTACTGCACCTATCCTTCATCACCCAGACAGMAACAAACAATTYATTCTGGAAGTAGAYGCATCTGACACTGGAGTGGGGGCTGTTTTGTCTCAAAAGAACAGTGGTGATAACAAGACCCATCCATGTGCTTTCTTTTCACGGCGCCTCACTCAATCAGAATGTAACTATGATGTTGGCAATAGGGAACTTTTGGCCATAAAGCTGGCTTTGGAGGAATGGCATCACAAGGTACGGAGTTTCCCTTCATAATTTGGACTGACCACAAGAACCTCTCCTATATTCAGTCTGCTAAACGTCTCAATCCCAGACAAGCCCGCTGGTCACTTTTTTTTTCAAGGTTCCGTTTCACCATTACCTACCGACCTGGGTCTAAGAATGTAAAACCTGATGCTCTGTCAAGACAGTTTTCCTCCTCAGGCTCCTCAAAGTCTGATGCCACCATTCTCCTTCCTTCTTGCATCGTGGGATCTCTCACGTGGTCTGTTGTGAAGGACATCCGCGAGGCCCAGCAAGGTGAACCCGATCCACGCACCAATCCTGTGAGTACTCTTTTTGTTCCATCTTCTGTTAAGAGACAAGCGTTAGACTGGATTCACACTCATCACCTCACTTGCCATCCTGGGATTGGACGTATGATGGCTTTTTCTAAGAAGTATTTTTGGTGGCCCTCAATGTGTAAAGACATTAGGGAGTTTGTCTCTGCCTGTCCTGTGTGTGCTAGAAATAAGAGTGGCAACCAACCCCCGGCAGGGCTCCTGCAACCTCTTCCATCTCCGAGCAGGCCCTGGTCTCACATCGCCCTCGATTACGTCATTGGCCTTCCTCCTTCTGAGGGTAAGACTGTCATCCTCACAGTGGTGGATCGTTTTTCAAAGTCTGTTCACTTTGTGTCTCTAGAAAGACTTCCTTCAGCTTTCGAGACAGCTCAGCTTCTTGTGTACCATGTTTTTCTAATCCACGGCATCCCTACTGATATCGTCTCGGACAGAGGGCCACAGTTTGTCTCCCAAGTCCGGAGGGCTTTTTGCAAGGCCCTGGGAGCCACTGTTAGCCTTACCTCTGGATATCACCCACAGTCCAACGGCCAGACCGAACAATGTAACCAAGAGTTGGAAGCAGCCATCAGGTGTGTCATTAACAATAACCCATCTTCATGGAGTAAACATCTTACCTGGATTGAGTATGCCCATAATTCACACACATCATCCACCACAGGTCTCTCTCCTTTTGAAGTTTCCCTAGGATACTCACCTCCCTTGTTTCCAAGTATCGAGACAGACATCTTGGTCCCCTCCATTCAGACCCACATTCGTCGGTGCAGGAGGTTCTGGAGACAGACCAGACAAGCCCTACTCAGGACAGCTGATCAGAAAAAGAGGTATGCTGACCGTCACCGTTCTGTTGCTCCCACTTACAGGGTGGGACAGAAGGTCTGGCTCTCTACCCGGGACATAAACCTGCGACACATGCCCAGGAAGCTCTCCCCCAGGTTTATTGGCCTGTTCCCCATTGAGCGGATCATCAACCCATCTGCAGTCCGGCTCAAACTTCCTCCATCCATGAAGGTGCATCCAACTTTCCATGTCTCCCAGGTAAAACCCGTAACCTTAAGTCCTTTGTGTCCCCCTTCTGCACCACCCCCTCCTCCCCGTCTCATTGACAACCATCCAGTGTACACCGTGAACAAGATTTTGGACATTCGACGCTGAGGGAGAGGTCATCAGTACCTTGTGGACTGGGAGGGGTATGGCCCTGAAGAGAGGTCCTGAGTGTCAAGGTCTCTTATCCTAGACCCCTCTTTAATCACTACGTTTTACAGAGATCATCCAGAGAAGCGGCACAGATCGCCTGGAGGCGATTCGTAGGGGGAGGGTACTGTGGCAGTTGTGGTTCCTCCTCCCAGTCTGTTGCCTGGCAGCAGATTATCAGCAGCTGCATCCACTTCACCTGATGACTCCTGGAGCTTTATAAGGAGCTCATTGTGATTCAGACCTTCGCTGGAACATCAACTACCATTAGGTATTGATCTCTGCTAAAGATAGATTCATGTTAACCAAGGTAAGCTTACCAAGCACTTTTTGTATTTTTGCCAAGTTGTCCTGTTGCTCCTATGTGGAAGTCATCATTAGAGTTCTGCTGAAGAAAGTTTGGAAATACCCACCTGCTGCCACGCCCTGCTCAACTCACCTGCCGCTCGGGTAAAGACTCACCTGCCTCTCTGCCTCACCTCTCTGGTCCTCCCGTTACGGATTCTGGTTCTACTTCTGTCTTTTAAAGTGTTGGATAAAACAGTCAAGTCCTCTTGGAAAAGTAAGACATATAACCTTAAAGAAAGAAAACCTTCTCTCACCATCAAGCCAAACCTGACCACTTGTCTCCTCTCACAGGTTCTGAAGCTGATCCAGATCTCACTGTAAATAAACCTTAATTCTGTCTCCTGAGTATTTGTTCCTCTTTCCTGCCTAACCGTGACATTGCCTCTGATCTCATGATACAGAGAACAATATCTAGCCATCACTATTGTTGTTTTTATACTTATCTATGAGTTGTGGGAGGAATTATGATAATTTATGCTCTGCCGCATCTTCAGCCCATTTATAGTGTGTCAGAAAAAAAGAAGTCCAAAATGACGCAATTACGGACTCACTGTCTCATGTCGTATTGGAGTATAAACCAAGCTGTAGTCACAGATTTGGTAACGGACATAGCCCAAATGACAGGCCCCCTCATCCATTACCTGCTGGGGAGTTCAGATATTTCATTTTTCTTTTTGTTTCTGAAATAATAGGGCATCCTGCATCTTTTGACTCACCCTGTGCAGGATTTCAGCAGATGTTTTGGAAGGTTGCTGAATGAGGAGCATTTCGGTGTTAATCAGAAGTATGCCAATGAGGACAGACATAAATAATGATCTAAAAAACAGCTGAAATCTGTAGCTCTGATTTCTAATTGAAACAAATAAAACACATTAATTTATAAAAACTCAGATATTCACCTGAACCATTTCTTCGTATGTGATGAACAAGATTCTGTCTCCCAGTTCGGCACGCTTCCAGCTCTTTATATGATCTGTCCATTTTCCAAACAGCACTGCAGACGAGAAAGACTGAATGAAAAAACTGCTCTTTGGTTGGTTAACACAGATTACCTCGGACATCAACAAAACTCTTATTTTTCAATAATATTTTCCCATGAAAGGAAATGAAGGTAATAAACGTTGATTCAGATTTGATTAAGATGCTGTTCTGAATAAATTCAGACCTCTGCCTTCTAGGAATTTTTCCATGAACTCATCAAATGTTCCTGGATCTTCAAGAAAAGAAGCCATCTGGTGGAAGTAGTATGAAGACACCAAGACATCCTTGGGGTTCCTCATGACGTAGATCACCTGTAGAGAACAGTGTGAAAATATAACATGACAATATCAGATAATAAAATGTAAGTCTCAGACAAAGTGTTCACTCAGCTACCTTGGCCTTGGAGGTATGGAAAGAAGGGGGCATGAGGTTGTAGGTGAAATGTGAGATCAGTCCACGTGGAGATGCCAACTGGTCCACAACCTGTGCCAGTCTTGTTTCTTCCAGCCATGGGACTCGATCCCAGTTTACAATTGTTTTGATTGGGGTCAGATCTCCTCCATTCAGCACCAGTGGGAGGATTTCCTGCATCCAGACTGTACCTGCAGAATTAAAGAATAGTTTAATTAATAACTACAAAAAGTGCTGAAAGACCTGTGAGATGAATTTTAGGGGATTTCAAACACTGTAGGTCTTTTTCATCAAATATAAAGTCTGCAGAGAAATTTTATTTTTACTCAGCTACTGTTTAACATGTTAGTGTTGACATGTAAATATTCATCCATCCATCCATCTTGTTGATTTTGATTTGATTTGATTTGTTTATTCAACAGGAAACGATTATTAAAAATCAAGCCTGACTCAGCATAATTGCTGTTTTACAGCAGGTTCCTGTTCTGCAGCACATAAACACTCAGAATTACAGCATCACAATCACATCAATATTACACCATAGACACAAAGACAAACAAGCATTCCAAATTTATAAAAGGCAGCATTTGCAAACACGAACGTCTAAATATGTGCACAACAAAAAGTGTCCAACAGATGGCAGACAAGATTCTTC